TCGAGTTAATAAGCTGAAGCGGCAAAGAGCAGGGCCACATTGCTCGAAGGACTGATAATCGGTGGAGCAGGGGAATTCTCGAGTGGAGATCACGTACCGGGAGGCGCAGCGTAGGATGGCCCACCGCGAGATGGACAGACGATCTGATCAAGTCCGCGGGGAAATGCTGGATGCAGGCCGCTTCTAATCGGACAAAGTGGAAATATTTAGGGAGGCCTATGTTCAGCAGTATAAGTCCTATGGCTGATATGTGATATGATGATGATGATGGTGATGCATTATTCTCACACAGCCCTGTTTTCCTTAAGAACTTTTATTTAGCAAAAATATCAGATCACTTATCAACACAACTTAAATCATGATGTAAAAAAAAGGAAGGTTTAACTTACATAGATATTTACAATCATAGCACTTTAACGATCTATGATTGTAAATATATCTATCAAACAGTCTAAATGTGACCGTCGAAGATACTCAAGTAAATAATATGTAAATGAATAAATATCGTTGTTTTTTCTTAATCATGGTCACCCTAATATGATCACCACGTTGACGTTTAAGCAACGTTCATTTCAAAGTCATATTGCCGGATGTCGTGCCGACAATTTGTATACTGCTTTTCGTCTGTATACGAACGGGTCATTATGTAAGCGTCAGAATCTTACATATTGACTTCGACATTGCTACCACATGACGTAGATCTACCTACCAACCAGCCGAACGTTTCTTGAACAGTCACATTATTAGATTTTTATGTAGTTATTTTTGTGAAATAGAACATTGTCTGTAAACTAATACCAATTTATTTTACATAAAAACGAAGAAAATAAATGCATTAATTTCCTGATCAAAGATAACAGTTAAAATTTACTAACTACTTAAACAATACCGGTATGAAAACTACTAGTTATGACATGCAGGTCTATAGGAAAAATGATGAAACATAAATTCGAATATTTATGAAAAACCCAGAATAAAACCCCTAGATAATAAATTATTATCTATGTAAATAAGAGATCAAAGAACCTTAAGGTTTAATTCATAGTGATTGAAAGATGTCTTGCAAAAAACATAACATAAGATTACTCACAGCAGAAGAAAAATACAAGAAATCACCATCAAGATAACTATAGGTATTTAGATAATTTACTTGAAGTCCTGAAATATTCTCAATTACCTACTTCTAAAAATAGCTCTAAATGTATTCTACAGTACCAAATATGTGTGTGAAAACTAGGCAAGTAATGCTTGAACGAATCGCACATAGCCATTTCAATTACAATAAAGTAATCACTAGTTTTGAGGTAAAAGTTAGTTGAATCTTTGGCAAAATAAGTTTCTTACTCGTAAGTAAGTATTTAATGGTATTTTAGTGCACAGCATTGAAACTTAAGACAGGCATTACATTTACATGGTAAAATAATTAATAATTTTCCAGTAGTAGGTAGTACCTAGCTGCCTACATTATACTAATCATCAAAATTATAAAACCGTTTAATAGTTGGTTCACTAAGTTGTAGGTATTTATGAAGATATTTTGATGAAGAGAAAATAATATAAACAAAACAAAATGTAGGTACTTGAAGCAAGGTCTCGGTTGGTGTCGATCGTTGGTAACAAATAATTTAATCGTTAAATCGATGGTGGCAAATAAAATCTTATCGTTAAATCGATGGTAGCAGGTATAGATATAACCTGATTGTTAAATCAACGATAACATTGTATAACCTGATTGGCAAATCAACGGTAGCAGGTACGACCTGATCGTTGAATCGATGAGAACAGATGCGATCTGATCGAAATCTATAGTAAGTAATATGAAGTAATCATACGGCAGTAAATCTGTCCATTTCATTGGTACATATAAAGTTAGTCAAGCAGTATAAAACTGGTCATTTAATTGACGAATACACTTTTATAGGTATAGCAGTGAAAAACTGATCATAAGGTGTATTGTTGTTCCGAATTCCATTCTCAGAGGTGTCACTCAGTTGATATATACCTATCTGTCTGTGAATTCTGTTTAGGCCATCGCAGGCTAAACCGGTAAGTGAAATATATTAAATTGTATTGTGTGTATGTGTTTCGGTAAGTACCTACCTACTAGTTTCTTGGTTTCCATACGTATACCTACCCAGCGGGGCCTGGAACTGCGGTAGATAGACTAGAAGGATAATTCCTATCTCGTTTACCTTACCTACCTTCTATCGTGGAGTACCGGCCGAATCGATGAACTCTATTATAATATTATAGATGGAAAAGTGCGTTTGTTTCGTCTTTTCAGTCACAGCGGACCAAATTGTATATCATAACTTTTGTGTGTATGTACCTATTAGAGAGGAAGAAGATTGGAAATTGTTACTCTTTACTACAGGTAAACATGTAAGTAGTTCTCATGGGAATATCGAAATTCAGCTGCAGGTAAAACCACGGTAGGAAAATCTAGTTATTAAAATCTGATGGGTTGTTCTTCATATAATCAATCAATAGTATGTTTGTGCAGGACGAGATAGTGGTTTGAATGAAAGAATTTATGTACACCTAGAAAGGCTGTGGTTTAGAAAATATCATTTCAAATGAAACCTTTAATCATTGGTTTCTATATTACATATACGTATAGTTTGTACTGAAGAACTACTGACGAACTGGCACACATATCACATCGATTCTGTCTTTCATTCTTGATGTAGGTATATAGGTACCTACATACATACATGCAGTCATGTGTTATTGTCGCAGGTTCAATTCCCGTGAGTGATTTAGTGGTTTATAGATATTGTTTTGGGAGTTTATTTCCTGTTAATTAGTGTCTGTTGTCCCTTGCAGACAAGAAGTGCTGACGATTAAGTTTTTGGGGGTTTCCCTTTGTATTTGTTTGATAACCAAGATGTCGGTATTGTATGATTTCAAGTGAGGTTGCGGGGGTAGAAATCTTCGGGTTACCTTGCTACAATATTTATAAGTGTTCGTTCTATGTAGACATGGATATTCACTGTAAATCGTTCAGTTTTATTGCATTATATTATAGTAGTAAAAAAAAGAGGGAGAAGAAGAGATAGAATACAGGCACGGGTAACCGTCAGACGGCGTTTCTTGTTGCCCGATTACCCTTGTAGGTATTTATAAACGGGAATGATGCGATAGGTTTTATAACTACCTCTACTTATAAGTACGACTTTTTGGACGATTTGTGTGTGATGCAAACCTGGGAAGATAAATACATGAAAAGAATATGATACTGGATATATTACTACGTAACTAGTAAGTAAGTAATAACACGTCATTACACAAAACGAAGAACAGTGTACACAACTACTAAAAACCTAGTAAGTACCTACCTATGAACTTACCGGAACCACGCAGCGGCGACTGCAGTGGATTTCGTTTCTAACGAATGCTCGAGTGTTGAATTTTAAAGCAAGTGCAAGACAGGGGATCTGAAATTGTTCGTGCTGAGCCCCGGAAACTTATTAGAATTCGCTGCATAGGAAACTACAACTAGTACAAACGGTAAGACTGTTCATTATCGGCTCAAGTCGCTCAAAGGGTTAAATTGCCACCCGAAGCAATTTTAGGACCCAGTAAATTAAACGTAAGTTAACGCAGTTGAGACTTCACAATTCAGGATACAGTAGGTATTCAACTTTGATTTAACCAGTGTGGGCACATCTTGTCCTGGGTTTTTTGGTTTGCCCGTTGGACATACTGCGGCAAAGTGAACAGACAACGCAGTACCCACACAGCACAGTAGAAAATGTTAAGTAACTGCAGATACAGACTTTCTGAATTTTACCTACTTTAGGTAACTATTTTTAATATTTCATCTTAACTATTTCATTTTATTTATTTTTAGTTTTTGGAAAAACTTCTCCAAAGCTAGTTTATTAAATTGTAACGAATAAAATGTTAGTAACTCAAGGAGCGTTCAGCGATCGCAATAACATTTTAAATTTGTTCAATGTATGGTAAGTGGTTAGTTTCATAAAATTACACGAGCTAATAATAACTGATTCACACTGCTGCTAGCTATAGAACTTATTATCCAAATTTATTCTGGCGATTATTAAATTTGTTTGGACCAATATTTATTAATGTGCATAAACGGACACGTAAAATATAAGACGTTTTGCTTTCATCACCTCACTGATGAACCCTGCCTTCTTATTGCCTACAGTTTTAGTCAGACAGGAATAACAGGTAGGCAGAAACCTTATTCGATAAGAAAAATAGTAATTTTCGGGTACAAGCAAGATTATTTCGGGTATATTCTACATTTTTTTGTAGAAGGCTACTACTAACAACAATAACAATTGAAAAAAATTAAAGCAAAAGAAGGGAAATATGGTAATAGGTAAAATACTTTCTTACCTAGTTGTTTAAAATTAATGAGCTATTTATTGATGCTTATCGTAAGTTACCTATCTATCTATGTTTACCCTCATCGATTTTATTTTGTGCATTACCATCAGTTGCGTAGCTATTGAAATAGGAATCTAAGTTTAACATGTAGTTGGAAAAAACAGTACCTATATAGCTCAAATGGTTTTGGGAACATTATTTACCAGATCATAACCATAGGGGACAAGACCAAAGCATAATCAAAACAAAAATTAAAATAAGAGGGAGATGTAGTGTATTGAGTAAGTGTAATGACTATCGTAGTATAAAGAGTTAGTGTATTGACTGTCAGTGTCTCGAGCACGTACGTCACCACGGACGGTAGGGTAGGGATTCTGTCCTGTCAGTCAGTCTATGCCCGACCCTAGCCCCGAGCGGTTGTGTGATGGCATGCCGGCGAGCCACTCCAGACTTCAGTCAAGCTTCATCATCTGAGCTTCAGTCAAGCTTCATCATCTGAGCGTCTACCAGGACGCTATAGGCTCCATTACCGGGATAGATTTACAACTAATTCCCAGCCAATTCCCAGCGACTAATTCATTCTTTGCAGATTTAATGTAGTCAAAGCGATGAAAACCCGCGACAAATTGAATATTCAATTTATTGCGGTAGCCTAGTTGGTACTGGCGTCGGTCGGCAGTACAGATGCCGAAGGTCGCAGGCTCAAATCCTGCCTGCGGTGGAAAATTTTGCAAGTCTTCCAAAAAAATAGTGCGATGGTTACCAAATAGAAAAGCTACTTCAGGCACGACTTCCATGGCAGCTTTCTTCATCCCCTGCAGTTTGAACCTGACTAGGAACGAAACCAGGCTCACCGCCAAGCCAATCAGGACGAAAGCCAGAGAGTACCGCAGGTAGATATCCACTAGCGTAGAGTTCTCCTGAAAATGGTATACGGAAATCAGTTGCTTGCTGTATTACCGATAGAAGTGGTAAAGCAAAAAAAAACCTATAGGTAGGAAAGTATCTACATAAATTGCCGTGTGGTACTACCCATCACACCATACCTTTCTCGCGAGTGTCGTAAAAAGCGACTAAGGGATTTGAGAGTTGATGTGCACTATGCAGTTTTAGGCGACAAGCTAAAAAACCTGACAGTCATCTGAATGACTCAACTTTTCTCAGACGTGGTGATTATGGCCGTCTTTTTTTTACTGCTGTTTACGCTCTGACTACCCACCCTGCAAGGGATATCGGCGTGATGTCTATGTATGTAGATGAACTCAACTTACCACTATAGTAGCCATCAGCAGCAATACATTGACCATCTGGAAGAGGGAGAGAAGCCAGCAGCGTACAGAAAGGATGTGCTCCGTGATTGGATGCCGACAGAAGTAGACATCGTCACGGAGCGTCACTTTGTCTACGAAACAGGATATCTGGAATATCATTCAATTATTACCAGTCACTCCAGCCACCGAACACGGCTACATACATTTCAGCTCGCTACACATGCCTACTCCAGCCCACGAAAGGGGCTACACTCATCTCAGCACGCCACACATACCTACGATACAGTCATCTGAGCACGCCACACGTACTCCAAGGGGCTACATAAAGCTCAGTGCACCATACATACTCCAGAGAGCTACATACATCTCCGCGCGCCACACAAACTCCAGCCTGCGAATGGTACTACACACATCTACACTCATTTCAGCGCGCCATACATACTACAGCACCAGAAGGGTCCTACATAAATCTCAGCGCTCCACACATACTCCAACTCCCGAAGGGGACTACACACCACACATCATAGCGCGCCACTCATACGCTATATACACTCATTTCAGCGCGCCATACATAATCCATTCCCCAAGAGTCCAGTCTCCCAAGGGTGCTATACAAATCTCAGCACGCCACACATATTCCAGCTCACGAAGGGTGCTACTTTAGGTGGTACACACCTCTAGCTATGCTACTCCTGCCCCTGCAGGAGAGAGATAGAGTGGTTCTGTTGAGGCATTGCCTATATGCCACCACCTTGTATACCGCACCTGGCAGCATTTACTATTTAGTTACATACCAAACTTATAACAGCAATGCAAGCAACAGCCGTTCTATTCGATATGAAGGAGAGTCCAGTATCCTTCAAGTAGTAAGGGTACCAGACCACTTCTTGGGGAGCTATTGGCCCTAAATTCATTTCGCTTACGTATCTAGTTTTACTATATCAACCTTTATCTAATTTAATAAATTATACATGTGTCATTAATTTAGTATTTAGTATTTAGCGTCTATGTAATTTTCTGATACCCAGACCCAGTAGAGATAAATGTATTTATTACAAAATTATTTACTCCATCCACCATCCATCCAGGGTATCTGTCAGTGTCAGTTTTTCCAAACAAGGAGACTGATTGAAACCATAGATTTATCATCATTATATATAATAAAACTAAGTTGATAAAATGTACGTGCCGATAAAACTTTAAAACGGATTCCCGGTACGATAAAGGGACTTATATAGTGCGATAGCCCTTTATCCCCCCTCGAACAAGAAAGTTCCCATTTTAAATTAAAGGGTGCACGTTTTAGAGTGAGAATCCACCAGAGCTGTGCGAGTAAAATGTGTCGTACGAGGATGTGTAGCTGTGCTGTGGAAATGTGTAGGGATTTCCACCAGAGCTGTGCGAGTAAAATGTGTCGTACGAGGATGCGTAGCGGAGCTGTCAAAATGCACATTAATGTGCGGAGCGAAGATGCGTTGCGAAGCTGTAAAATGTGTGAGCGGGGGGGAATGCGATGTAGTGGAAACCTCGCAACATATTCCTAGCAGCACATTTCTCGCAACACATTCCTCGCTACACATTCGTCGCAACACATCCTTCGCACACATTTCTCGCTTGTTTTGTATGTAGAATGGCCTCGCTTCGCTCAACCCTATTCCACCAGAGCTGAGCTAAGCGAGGCTAGGAAAATGAAGTGATTCTATTGGTGGATTTTTTCCTCGCACACCGCTTAGCTACCTCGCACAGCTCTGGTGGATTCTCACCCTTAAGATATAAGGGCTTTTCCATCCCCTCAACAGTGGCGCCATCTGTTTCCGAGTAGTTGAACTCCATTCAGAACAAAGATTATTTGAGTTACGTTTCTAAATGCAATGTATTTCAAACTTTTTTATTAGACCAAACAGATAAATACCTACCGCGAGTGAAACCGCGGGCGGAAAGCTATATTAAATAGATACCAAATAAATATACGGGGAGTAAGGGAGACACGACAGCTCTCCGAATTCTGATAGTGCTTCCCAAAAGTTTTTTTTCAGGTGACGTATTTTTTGTACATACATACAAAATCACGATCAGCTGACTGCATTTACTCTGGGAAGTCTACATTTGTTTACATATCCTGTTTTTTTTTATGGAAAGTTGTTTAGTTTCGTGGTCTGAGTGCACCCCAAAGAGTACCTTTTATATGTGCACCCTATCAGTATTCGGAAAGATTTTCCTTACACTATACGTATAGTATTCCCAGTGGGGGTCACTTATCTCAAACCACCTCAATCTCACTTTGGGGGAATTTGTTCCCAGTCCGAACCTGATAAACACCTGATTGTCCGAAAAGCAAGATGGTTCTGTGCTTCGGAGGGCACGTTAATCGGTCCCGGTTGCTATGATCACTCAGACGGAGGTCGTTACACAACCATGTCAGAGACCTGCTTCTTGCAGTAGGTGGTTGAAAAACTGACATCAGGGTTCATCGGTTCGTTGCACGACTTAGTATCCCACTCGAAGAAGTTTCGAACCCTCATAAAAACTACTAGAATGTGAATAAAAACGACATAGTAACATCGCAAACTTGTTTAATATAATAAAATCGCACTTCCATAGTCTTCAATGCAACGGTAAAACGTAATAATAAATTAAAACTAAGCTTCAAATAACACTTCATAATTATTATAAACTGTACAAAGCTTTTTTTACGGCTTCAGATATTAGGAAAGAGAAATACTGTAGGGGTTAAATCAGTGTTTTGATATTCTTCTATCTATAGTTTTATTTTTATCCAAGCGCATTGGGTTTTACCACAAAAAGATAGACTAGCGTTGAACGCGCGTCTGGCGTTTTTTTTTATAATGAAGTTTTGTTTATATTTTTTGTGGTAAGACCCATATGTCTAAGTCGCATAATGTCCAAGTTATCAAAAGGGCTAGATTAAAAAATGTCCAATGCGTCTAGCTTAGCAAACAAAGGGTTTACATGCTAAACCCTTTGTTATTATACTACACTTCCCATCAGAAAAATCGAGACGCTTTGCAATTCTACGTTTTGTACGGATCACATTATCTGAGACCTATTTTTAATTTGGAATGTTTAATGTCGTTCAAATGTCGTTCAATAGTGAGTATTTAATTCATATATTTTCATATATTTAATATTTTGCTTAACTATGAAAATGAAAGTGTCTCGATTTTTTTGATGAGGAGTATGTTATACCTTTGCTCGACTTTATAACGACTTGGCCGTTTTGGTAACTAGTTTTTTGAGAAAATACTACTAGGCCTTTTGACAACGTTGGACATTATGCGTCTAAAGTTTTTTTCAGCACTAGTGTTTTGATGTGACATTGCAATTGTTTATTAGCAAAGATTACAGTTCCTGTTGGAAATTTTAGCAAAATGGGCAGACTTGACGAAAGAAAAATTATACAATTATGTCAAAATATTGTTGATAGATATACATGGAGTAATAAAAAGGATATAGCATAAAAATTAACAACTTTCCATACAAAATCGGTCCTCCAATACAAGGTTTTCAATCAGCTGATTGATTTACTATAGAAGGGCCATTTTTATTTCATATATCTGTTGTTCAGTTTCATGAGTACTCCGACCTTTCGACTTGTTATACGCTTTTTGTTACCTCCGGTTGAAGACATGAAACATATTTTTCCTGTTGGATCGGAACATAATAATGTTGCATGGGAGATGAGGAAAGTTGTTCAGTTTCATGTATTCAAATATTTCAACTTGTTTTACACCTTAATCAAATACATACATAATAAACAGAGATCTTCTACATAATATAAAATTACTTAGTACTAATAATTATAAGATAGGAGTATGATTTACTATAAACTTAATGGACCTTACCACAAAAAAGATAGACGAGCGTTCAACGCGTGTCTTGCGTTTTTTTGTGTGAAGTTTTACAGTCCAGCAAAAAAAAAATGAGGGCGCCACTTTTCATGAAATTTCAAAATTGAATGGCAATATTGACTATGAATGGCAACAATTTAGTATGAAATTTTTTAGTTCAATTTTATTTAATTCTACTCTTTTTTGCTGGACTGTTTTTATTTTAAACACGCGCTCAACCAACCCATTTAACTATTTTGTTGCAAGGCCCATTTTGTCGGCAAAACATAGATAAATAAAACTCAAGCTTAGGCCTGTTATCCGATAAAAAAAAAGACTGAAGCCGTCAAAGAAAAAAAGCTACAATATATCCTATTCGCAAATTGTCTATGCTCCTATTGGTCGAATCGAAACACACGCGCACTTTCATTCGTCGAACATGGCCAATCACAGCTCAGGTGAGGCGTTGATTGGCTATTGGCACCAGCGGCTGACCAATCACAGCTCTTGGCCGTTTTAACTGACGCTCTGATTGGCTATCGACACTACGGGCTGCTGGTTATTGGCTGAAATCACTGTGGAGCCCGGTGGGATCTTTTGCG